ATCCTGTGACCAATCAAATCAAATCCCTGCAAACCAACACTTGAATAATCTACTGAACTGAATTTGCTGTTAAGTTGCTTGTAGTTTATTCAAAAGATGAGAACTTAAAGCATTATTGATCGTGGATTGATAACACAATTTGAAAACATCCACTGGAAACCAGTTGAGAGTAATTGAGAGTTGTCTCGCTCTCGTCTGGGATTCTTTATTAGCAGTTATGCATATATAGCCCCAGCACTAAGGATAGAACCCGGGATTTCGACGTTCGGAGACAAGTTTGTCGACCATTCAACCAACCATTTGGGTTGGGATTTAATGACGCTTGAATTCTGTAACCTCTTCCAATTCTCGAGGCATGAAGCTTACTGCCAGCCGATTTCATCTGACAGCATTTGTCTTCATGCCCGACCTGATGGAACTCACCAGCGATATCCTATCAACTGACACTTGAAAATTCAAAGTAGTTGAATTATACCTTTCTTTATCTGTGATTGATACAGCATATAAAGTATGTCTACGTGTGTATGTGTGTGTGCGTGTGGTATACTCTTATTTGGTTTAGGTAGTTTGCGTTAGAAAAAGCTTATATAAGCTAAAGAAAGTCACTGGATAACTGTTACATCACAGTTTGCAACTGTTTTCTCTCAAAAACTTATTGTGAGGGTATTACACAAAATGACAGCTTTTAGTTTCCATGTACCAGATCAGGTGGTTTTCATGGTTGAAAACTGCTTTGTCGATCTGTTTTTTTGAACCTGATTATGAAGTGATACCGATCAGCATCATGTGATGCATTGACAAGAACTCCTAGGGGATTTAAAGTTTCGTAATAAACAGTAATACCCGTCAGAATTGAGCAGTATGATCGTCTTTCAGTTTTTTTCGTTGAAGACTTTATGGATCTGGTAGACTACAAAGTGTGAATGCATCTGCTCCATTGAGAACGATTTTGAGCCATATCACCCGTAATCTCCAGCCATCTCGAAGTCTTCAACCAGGCAGCGTAGTATTCACCTCAAACTGACAATCGAAGACTTGCCACCTTTTAATTTAACCATTTCTTAGTATCTTTCAGCCTTATTCTATATCAGCCAAGATTGCTCGACTAGGAAGCCGGGTGGCTCACCACGCCTGACTCGTGGCGTAGCCGTCTCAATCGATTCACTTACCCCACTTACCTAACACTACGCCTAGACTAAATATTAATCGTTATATTATGCCACTTAACATAACAGCAGATGGAACTCAGACATCTTTGGTCAAAGGCAGCTAGCCTTCATGGCTTCTGTTTTCAATAGCTATATTTCACAGTCATAAAAAGTAACAACGCGAACTGTTATACGGTCTCTTGATGGATACTTGAGTATCACACCTAGACGAACTTTTATAACTAATTTTTCTTCGTATATTAATTGTACTTAAAGTAATTATCAAAACCTTTCACAATATTTTCTAAAAAAAACCTTTGTAGTCCATCATCAGCGTTCACTCCAACTCGTGCATCATTTGGTAGTTTTCCAATCGATGTCAATTCATCGAGTTTTTCGTTATCCCCTGCTACTGGTGGATCTATCTCCTCATCAGTACAAATGACTGCTCGAACTCCTTCATCTGGATTTCATGAAGCATCATTTTCTGGATTATCTGAGGCGTCTAGTTTACCAGATTGTTCAAGGGTAAGTAAGGATTTAGTTTTGTTTCGTTTTGTATTTTTGATTGCAATATTGTCTGTAATTTCTTAGTATACTTAATTTCTTTTCTTAAAGATTTCTCATTACCACCTACCGATATAAAAATTGTATTGTCGCGTAGTTGAACGTGTGTGTTTGATCGGGAATATACATATCAGTAGTATATATCGCGTCAAGTTGAAAAGGAAAATAAGAATTTCACGTTAAATCGTGGATTAACATCATCAGTTAGGAAAATTGTGGAAGTCAGGGAGCACTGAACAGCTGTTTTGTACCATTTCAGGACTCTTCAAACGTCTACACAAATGATTCCACCGAGAATCGAACCCAAGACCTCAGGGTCACGAGGCGCTTCAGTTGACCATTAAGCTAACAAAGGGGGGAGGTATCACTGGAAGGCCGATGAATACTATCTTCTGTCAATTGCCGATTCCCAATCGGTTAGTGAAGATTCTGGAGGAGAAAGGAAGATATGATATCTAATAAAAGTATAAGGAGGAACAAGGGCATGAATTTACGGGAAGATACAATAGAACACAGAACAAGAATGTATTCTTTGAACCGTAACTGTATTGACCTACAACTGCATATGCCAATTAGCATGTACGTGTTAAGCACATACATCGGACTGCACATCTTAGAATATTCCAAGAAAATCACGTCTGAAAGCTGTAAAAGTCTTCGGTAGTTCTACTGTTGACCATCTGTTATACAGTGGTCATGAAATCAATGCATCAAAATCCTTTAAAGGTAATTAAACTTCGAGATAGCTCCAGGTTACTGCTACGTATCATTTAGGCGGTCACCATCAAACGATTATTGCAACCGAATTTATGCATCCGGAAGGACACCGTTGACAGTCTTGCCTTGCATTAATATATATACTTTACCCAATCTTATTACTTTGTTAACTTCTCCGTTTTAATCTTATTTTGTTTTGACAGTGTGATTTTCTAATCTATTTTTGCCTTTATCTATATTCTTTACCAGACCCTTTTTTGACTTCTGCTGAAGTAAATTATTTGACCGTTACCTAGGTGCACTGATTTTTTGCCTCTACTCAATTCCTAACATTCGTTCTTTATTCCATAATATTTGCAAATTATTTCTATACATACTAACAAGCTTAACAACGGCTTTTATTCCTTTCCATTATGATTCTTAATCACGTGATAATGATATCCACCATCTTTACGATCAATAATTACAGTATTTGAATATTTTGTATATTGATACTAAATTGTTCATGGTTGTATGCAGCTGACAAGAGCCAACGAAATATAACGACATCGTTTTATCCCGATCAATGTATTCTTCTTGCTGTATTCAGGATGAAATTTATTTACGTTAGTTTTTAAACTACTGAAATGTATTTAAGTAGTATTTTTTATAATGTTCAATCCAACTTTTAGCCAAGAACTGCTTTTGCATGAAATTGAATCAGTCGATTGTTTGTACGGAAAAACTTTTACTAGGTTTATTATGTACTATGTCTAATTTGTATTTGATGCATTAAAATAAATGTAGTAGCGTATATTACCGGTTAGTAAGAATGATATACCTGCTTTTATGATCATGAATCTGGAATATTTACTGTACACCACAATGGTTCCACCCACGAAACATCTTGTTAGTATTCTATTAATCAGAGCAAAAATATATGCTATCATAGACAAAAAGTACACCCAGTGGTCCTCCATTTGGAGACTTATTGAAAAATAGAGGAGCAGATTTTGGTTGATGATTTTGATGTAGTTGTGTTCTCTGAGCTCAAGCTCACTTCAAACTGAAGTATGCGCTGAAGATATTGCCTAGTAGGGCAATGAAAGCTTCACAAAGAAACCATCCAGCTCAGCGAACACAACTACATCAAAATAGGGGAGCGTGAAGACGGAAAAACTTCTATGCTAACCATGAAGTCGTGATTCATGAATGCATATCCATGACAAATTGATTGGACAGTTTCTGATTTGTTTGTTTATGGTTTAATTTTTTTGAGGTCAAACAACCAATCATGTTTGTTTATTTAACCATATTTCTTGTTGCTCAGTTGTGCCCTTTGAGTTAAAATAATTTCAAAGTATGCGTTAGCTGCTGCTGAAAAGTCTTGAATTAAACAAAATGAGCTCTTTTTATCCTGCAAATCTGTTCTGTTCGTTCTCTCTTTCTGTTCAAACTAATCAAGGGAATCGGTTGTATGAGAAACTAGGATTTAATGAACACTAGTAGTTGTTTCTTGTAAGTTACTCAGTTAGGTAATTGTTATGATGGAGGGATACTTAGTTGTGAGTTTGTTTGACTTTGTGGTGAGAGCTGTCTGCTGGCCGAAATTGTAGGCAGCAATTTACGTCCCGAATCGAGGTCATGAGAAAAGACAATAACAAAGCTTAACCTTGAGGAACTCACCAACCAATCACAGCAGACTTAACGTCTGCAAATACCATTCGCAGATATACGAACTGACTTTCTAAGAAACGGTTACAAGTAGTACAGAATAACTTTCAGCAAGAAAACAACCAATCAGAAGACGTTGCTTCTTTGCTAACAATAACGCTAATAATAATGTACATAAAAATCTATAAATATCTGTTGATTTTCTCAATAAACGGTCTGTTGCCTGGCCCTTGTCTTCTGTCGTTACAACTTGACTAGAATGCGCCTCCAGAACACGATGCTGCAACCAACTGATCACTTGGAATTTTCGCTCACACTGAGGTAGATACAAAAGTGTGTGAAATCGTAATCCCTTAGAAAATTAAGCCGTAAATAGACGAATCAGAAACTGTTCAATCAGGCCATCACATCAGCGCATGGATAAATCATGACTTTATGGCTAACTAAGAAGTTTGTCTGTCCTAACAGTCATCATAATCACATGTTTAAGTTCTGTCATAGAAACTTAGATAACTTTTTTAAAGATTTTTCATTATCCTCTGTACTGTATACACAAAATTGATTATGATTTGATTAAATAATTTATTTCCATCTATCTCTTAATATAGTTTGGTGTACCATCAGATTCTATGCCAAATACAAATTATTGTCATTGCCAATGTCATCAACATCAACGACCTCATCTCCATCATCATCATCATCCTCATCATGACCATCATCATCACCACCACCACCACCATCATAGTGGTAGAAAGAATCACGAGAAAATGTCAATTGATGATAAGAAGTTCTCATCAAATCTTTATGCTCATTCATCGAATCAATTAACTGATTTAGAACCATGTTTCAAATTAGAAGAGAATGAATTCAATATGAATACTGATAATAATAATAAAAATAATAATGAAGAATTACATCAGACAATGAGAAATATCAGTAGTAGTGGAAGTAATAGTAGTAACAGTAGCAATGATAGTAATAGTAGTAGTTGTTCCTTGCAATCGATGAAATGTACCCTACGATGTTGTTCTCAACCAAATGATAATACAATCTATGATAATATGAATTGTAAACATTTAATTCACTGTTCCAATAATAATCATAATAATAATAATGACAGTCATATTAGTAGACAGAATAATTATCGATCATTATGTACACCTTTAGCTTGTACAAGTCTTACTCCGACTACTACTAACATTATCAGTAGTAATAATGATAATAATAACAACAACAACCAGTCAACGCCTTCCAGTGCCATGACAACAACTGGGTTGAAACGTAGACGTGGACCAAGCGGTGAATGTACTGAATGCTTTGATGAAGTACATGATAATAATTCACATGAAGAAGAGAAAGAACAAATACACGATGATATATTCCCATGTGGATGTTACTATTGGAAGAGAAGTACAGATCAAGTGCACAACAATAATGATGATCACTTACGTAATATATCTTCAGCATTATTGAATACAACCTTAAATGACAATAATAATAACAGTAGTAATTGTAGACTGTCTACAACAGTTTGTTGTTCTTGTCATGAATTACAACATTCACTGTTTTCTTTTTCGGAACACTATCCACCCACGTCGATTTTCTCGTCTACATCTTCTTCATATTCATCGAGACATTTATGTATGCCTGAAACATGTGTTCATCAAGATGATCCAACACTTATTGAAGCTGATTTCACCAATAACACTGATGGTAATGGGGATGATGAACAGAATACTTCAACGTTAATTAAACGTTGTACACATTCGAATGCAATGCATCCTATAAATGTTGATTATAATGATAGTAATAGTAATAATAATAATAATACAGAAACGATACCTGATTGTTGTCCTATGGAGTTAATCAATCCATATCATACTGGATCACATGAAGATACGATCAAGTGTAATGTAAGTTTTTATTGCTAAGTTTATCATACACTTTTTAAAGTTTTTATTCTAATAGTAATGCCCACTTAAATGACTAGTAGGGTAACAATAAAAGACAAGAGACTCTGATTATCCCCATATACAAGAAGGGAGACAAGTCTTCCTGTGATAATCATAGAGGGATTAGCTTGACTAATATAGTATCTAAAGTCCTAAGCTCAATAATATTGCGTAGACTAAGTGGTGCTCGGGAGGCACAAACACGAGAGAACCAGGCAGGCTTTAGACCAGGAAGAGGGTGTATTGATCATATCTTCACCCTTCGACAGATTCTAGAACATAGGCATTCTTACCGGTGCCCAACAATCGTTGTATTTCTTGACCTAAAGGCGGCATTCGATTCTGTCGACCTAGAGGTTCTCTGGCGATGCTTGGCTGTGGAAGGAATGCCGAGAAAATATATCGCACTGATCAAGGCACTCTACTCGAACTCATGTCAGCCAGGTGAGGGCTTGCGGCGAGTTGTCATCTGAAGTGGTGACGACTAGTGGTGTCCGTCAGGGATGCCCATTATCCCCATTTCTATTCAATTTCATCATAGATGTACTAATGGATTTAACCCTAACTCACTTCAGAGACTCAGGGATTGACTTGCTACCAGGGAATAATCTCGTTGACTTAGAATATGCAGACGATATAGTCCTTCTAGGCGAGGACGCTGACAAAATGCAGAGTCTTCTGAACACCTTGAGCTACAATCTACGAATGTTTGGCATGCGATTCGCTCCCGCCAAATGTAAGATGATGTTACAGGATTGGACTACACTGATTCCTAGTTTAGAAATAGGGAGTGAAGTGGTAGAGCACGTTGACCGCTTCACTTATTTGGGAAGTTGCATCAGCCAATGCCAGCGGGTTGATCGCTGACGAAATCTCAGCACGGATACAGAGGGCTAGTTTCGCATATGCCAGTTTACGCTGTCTCTGGCGTAGACGTGATATCCGGCTATCGACCAAAGGGCGGGTGTACTGCTCAGCAGTCCGCTCCGTCCTCCTTTATGGCTGTGAGACCTGGCCATTGAAAGTGGAAGACATGAAAAGGTCGGCTAGTTGTCTTTGATCATAGGTGCCTGCGTTCTATCTCCCGTGTGAAATGGTATAATAGGGTGAGCAATATTGAGGTTAGGCGTTGAGTGCTAGGTAAGGAGGGGAAATCAGTCGACGAGGTTGTGAAGTTACATCGGCTGAGATGTTTAGGACATGTGTTACTCATGCCTAGCTATTATTTGATATTGATTTGTTTGGAATTTTACTCCCATATTTCCTTCTATGTTATTTATTTCGTCTTAAACCTTTTGAGAGTTATCTTTTCTTTTAATAATAATGATAATAATAATAATAATTCAATTAATGTTGTATCCTTTTTGTGTGTATACTTTCAGCCATGTAATATTGTTAATTATGGACAAGAATGCGAATATTCATCCGGTGTATTCATTGACGACAGCTTCACTCATAATCATCATCACCAACATCAACATTCTCATCGTTATGCATGTAGTGAGTTGGGTAAACTTTCTGAAATGATTGAAGATGAAAAAGAACATGAAACACCTGAAACTATGATTGATGAAGGTGGTGTTGGCAGTGTTTGTGGTAGTAGTCATGTATCCGAGGTCAGTTGGCATCATCCTGAAATCCCATTGACCTCTCCTCCATCAATTCATGATATTACATTTACACCGATTTGTCCACCTTCAACACAACTTCTGTCAACAGGAATTCCTGTACACAATCCACAACATGATACGGATGATGCTACTGGTCGACAAGTTATCCTTTTTACACCTTCACCGATTGATGGTTCAAACTCTGATGGGGAATCTGATGATATGGAGACTATTCTTTCACCTCAAATGCCCAATAGACAACGTATTTTTTCTGATATCCCAATTAATGAATCAAATAATAGTAGTAATAATAATGATAGTAATAATAATATTAGTGGGAATGATAATAATAATAATCATAACAGTAGTAAACAGATTTCATCTTCTTTCATTGATCTTGACTTAGAATTAATTGAAAATGACTAAATTCCTTCTTCTTCTTCTCTTCACATCATAATATATACACACAGAGACAGACGACACACGACACATTTGTTTGTTCGTTCGTTTATTTGTTTTGGTTTTGTTTTCGTTATGTTTTCTTTCATGAGATTATTTAGATGAAAATAAGTTGTTTGTTTTTTTCTTG